GCACCCAACTCTATGCACAGCTACTAAACAAATTCCTGTGCAGGTCATAGAACTAGTTTTATGTTTATTCTTGAAAGAGGAGGAGAGATTTTATTAATTTTTCATCACTGGTAAGTTTTTCTTTGAAGTCATTCAACAACCAAAGTCTACAGCAACAAACGGCCAGGTATACTGCACCCAAATCTATGCACAGCTACTAAACAAACTCCTGCAAAGGTTGTAGGGCTATTTTTAAGTTGATTTTTGAAAGCTCAGATTTTTCACTATCTAACATTTTCTAAGTTCTCCTTCGCTACCAACGTTAGTTCTTTGAAGCCGTTTAAGCACTGTTTTAGTAGTCAGAGAGGTTCCAATTTATATTAGTCGGAAACACTTCATTTTATTAGAGTAAACTGTGTATTATTATAACAGTCTCTCCAGCCTTATTGTCATTAATTGTAGTTTTAAAAGCTGATACAGAGAAAATGGCTATGAACATTTAACAATAGTAGTGAATACAGTATTGAGTATGTCATATGGTAATTTAAAATTAATTCAATCACCCGTTCACCCAGAACAATTTTATAAGTCCTTCACTTTCTGCTATTGAAAAAAATTTGGTATTTTACTAACGTGCATTAATTGGAAATTATTTTGTACAATTAATAGTGTATTAACCTTATGGTTATGAACCCATTTTGCTACTTCTCACATGGAGAATGATAAACAGTTCAACAATACTTATAACAACTCTTAACGTACCTTCACAACAATTGGTAAGATTGTTAAAGGTTACAAGTATTTTATACACAAAGAATGAGATTACTTTAATTAAAGATTTATTGTTTTTGTATTCTGGTTAGTTGCACTCAGACTCTGAATATTTCAAGTATTATCATCAACGTATTGTGTAGTGAAATGTTTAAAATTAAAAATATAAAAATCTACATACCTTTGAATTTTCATCAAATAATTTTGAAAACCTTCCTAGTTTAGATTATTAATTGTAAGTTTTCACTTTTTTCCAGAAAATGTTTAATTTTAACATCTTATTTACCTTACCTATCCTTTAGTATTATTATTTACCGTGATACACGTCAATGGGCGTTCTCAGGGGTTTCCTCGACAGCGATACTTTAGCTGTCATCAGAATGTTGGGACATTTGCCTACTTTATTAAGCCTGATAACTCGAGGCAGTTTGGTTTATTTAAAAAAAATATTAAATCTTTCAAATATGCATTTTAAAACATAACTAATACATTATTTAAAATATAAAACTAAAACCTAACTAAAATTTAATTGTCTATTTAACTAACAAGCGAGGTCACAAGCAACAACAATGCTAAGAGCATTTGACAAGTTATATATGGAATTCTTTGTGACAATTTTAGAATAACTGTTGGGAAACAGTATTTCAAAATGTGGTCTTTCTATTGGTTACAAACATCTAGCTCAATCAAGTATGATTGGCTGAGAAATTGCAACTGTATGTGTAGAAAGTTTATTTGGCACTGTCAAGTGTTCCAAGAAATTTCTTTCTTTTCCATTCCAGTGTCCCTTAAGGGGCTCGAAAGAAGAATGTGTAAACAAATAAATTAACGTAGTTTCTGTCTGTACATAGAAGTACAGTGTAGAGAGAGAATTATTTAAGTTATAGATGAAAATTTAAAATTTTGTGATCTTGTGCATCAAACTGAAGTTTAAAAATTTTTCTTTAAGGTTTCTTTTAAAATAAAGTTAGATAATATAAAACTTTGAACTATAATGTAAATTTGTATGCTAATTTCATTGGTATACATTGATAATAAGATTGCTTAATTAAATTTTGAATGTAATAAAGTAAGCTCTCGTGACATGCACAGTACAGGGGTGTCTATAATTATAGGATTCATCGTTTTTTGAGTTCGCTGTTTTTTATTGTTTCTACTTGGTTTTCTGCTATTGTTTTAGTGAGTTTTCTAACCATAGTAGATTTATCAACTCTTGTGAGTGGTGATTTATTCTACTGAATTTCGTACTTCGCTTGTTAAACTCCCGTTTACACGAAATCTCGAGCACAAAACCACCTGACTCAGTAAATAATGAATGGTTGGGTGAAAAAAAACTCAATGCAGCAATAAACTGTTGAAAAACTTGTAACATTCAACTGAATGAATATGCACGTAAGTAGCTTAACAATAGTTCTCCATAAACTACTTAAGAAACAAAATAATTAAAAACTGTTAATTTAAGAAGGGGAACAGGGATTGTCAAAAGAATACAGAAACAAGTTGAATCAAAATTCAAAGATTATATTTTCAAGCCTACAACTATGGGCTCTAAAAAGTAAACAAACTAGGCTGAAAATAGTCTACATTATTTTCTCAAGATACAAATCCCTATTTTGACTCCATAAAATTAACAATTACTTTAGACATGGAGTCAAAACAGGAATTTGTAGCTTGAGAAAATAACATACTAAATAAATGATTAAATCTCATTAAGTTCTGGAACATTAACTAAGGTAATAAGGTACTAAATCTGATTAAGTTCTGTAACATTAAGGCAATAAAGTACTAAATCTGATTAAGTTCTGTAACATTAAGGCAATAAATTATTAAATCTGATTAAGTTCTGTAACATTAAGGTAATAAATTATTAAATCTGATTAAGTTCTGTAACATTCAGGCAATAAAGTACTAAATCTGATTAAGTTCTGTTACATCAAGGCAAAGTACTAAATCTGATTAAGTTCTGTAACATTAAGGCAATAAATTATTAAGTCTGATTAAGTTCTGTAACATTAAGGCAATAAATTATTAAGTCTGATTAAGTTCTGTAACATTAAGGCAATAA